TAACGGACTTCTTGGGTCTCTTGTTGTATCCCGGGGAGGAACCACAGTGGGTATGAGGAAAATAAAAACAAGAGAGAAGAGCTGGGTTAGGTGGAGACAACCTCTTAGATGATGTGCAAGAGGACCTAACATCAACAGTAGGAATGTTTATTTATACTCTTGCAATGTTGCCTAGCAACTATCCAGGCAGGATGCTTTTTCAAGACTAAGATGGCTTGACTACTTGAGGGACTGTGGCTCTGTCCTGCCCTCACACATGAGACCAATTTCCAACTCCAACCTCTCCCAGAGGTACAATCTTGTGGATGAACTATGTAGCACTTAATTGATGTTAGAATGGTCCATTTTATGTGAGGTGAGTTTGATCTTCATTCACTGGTGTAATAGTGAGGAGTTTGAGCTTTACACTGGAGGATCAATCTGCTCCTCCACTCACTGGCATTGTGACCTCAAGCAGCTGTTGCCACTGTCTGACCTCTCTTATTCATCTGTAAAATGGGCATGACCCTGGCATCCATCACCTGGGGCAATGGAGAGGATATTTTTACATACAACCCTTTAGCACAGAGCATGGAACACAAGGAGGTGACAAACACAGTGTGTGATCGTTCTGAGCAAGGAAAAAGTCACTCCGAGTGAGCTGTATCCTGGGAGGCAGAACTCCAGAATGTCCTTGAGGCAATTTGTCACTTTTAACCCCTAACTGGTTTATATTCGCCAAAGAAGGGGCTTGATTATTGTTGATCCACTTCCTAACTTCTGCACCTCAATTCACACAAGAAAGAAATCAACACAGAGCTTTAGAAGAACTGCAGCAGTATGGAAGGAAGCCTAGAAAAATAACTTTTGCATGGGGTAGCAGCCAGGTGGGGGAAAGATGCTGGTTCACAACAGGTTTCTTAGATGCAGGAAGTGAGCTATCATTCTCTACAATTAGGCATTCAATGACCCTGCAATCGTTTATTCTTGTCCCCTCAGTCCATCTTGCGGGGCAGGAAAGACATCTGGTATACTGGGGGTATTCTGGCAAAAGCAACCTCCTGGGGTGTGAAGTCAATGTCCTCAGGAGGCACTGGGCTGGCTATGGAGAAGTTCTGGAGGATGGTGGTGAAGAAGAGGAACAACTCAGCACGGGCAATTCCTTCTCCAAGACAGATACGCTTCCCTGTGGGCACAGAGGATCACAGGGTAGGCCAAGGTGATATTCTTTGCCCTGTCATAGCTTTAATCTTAGACACCTGTGGCCATGGCACAGGTATAACCTCGAATCAGTAATAGGAGTGTACTTAAAGGAGGTTCCCTGTGCTTCTGATACTGGGCACAGATCTTTGTGTGGATGCTCAGTGTTGAATAGGAGTTAGGAGATACAGAAGTTTGTAGTTTTATTTGCTTTCTAAAGGGTTCATTGGCCCTATATGAGATAAGGACCCATTTGTGGGCCTGTGTAAGTAGAAAAGTATGTGCACATGTATAAGGTAACATTTTTGGTGTCCTTCATGTCTCGTCGGAGGAGACTATTACCCATCTCATAGGGCTCTTGTGAGGGTTCAGTTACTATTCATAG